TGGCCTTTAGCTGTCAATATGCCTTCTTCTGTCTGTTATAAGCATATTTACGCAACTGTATATACCCGCTTTTATTCCTGTTGAATGGGCACCAGGTCTAAAAATAATAAAAAAAAACGCCAAACAAACCAAAATACATCTTATGAGGGCCAGATATACAGGCCCATAAACACGAATACATATAGCATAACATATTTGTAAGAGTATATATAGATATGTACAATGTGTGTGTGAATATGCGTGTGTGTGTGTGTGTGTGTGTGTGTGTGTTAGCGTATGCATATGCATGCAAATATGTCAACGGGGCGCGCGAAATGAAAATGATATTTACATGCAGATGCGCCAAAAGTCACGAAAAAAAATATATACCTATATAATGTAACTGTATAAAAAAAAAGGTATTCTGCATGCGCATATTTGGAAAACCCAGTGGGGTTTTTGCTTATGCAAACCAAGGAAATGAAGGTGACTGCGTTGCCATTTCATACATTTGCTGACAGCGGAGGTGACAACATGTCAACAAGCGCCGCGGGTACTTAACACACACACTCACACAGTAGAGAGAGAGAGAGAGAGCGAGAGAGAGGGGCAGTTAGGTATACAGACAGTGAGAGGGAGAGAGGGAGAGAGGGAGGGAGGGAGGTAGCGAGAGATAAACAACAGTTAAGCCATTTATGTGCGGGGCGCACTTTAAAGCGCGCGCTCAAAAGTAGGCAACACTTTAAATGATTGATTATTAGCCATTGTATGTGTGTACCTGTACGTGTGTGTGTGCACTCTGCCCCACCGCAGGCTAAAATTTCGCAGCTTACAAACGTTTTGTTCTGCCAGCTGTCTGTTTTAAGCTTTGCCGCACGACATGAGGCCCCTGCTCGAGTCATGACCCTGCCGAGTAGCTGTCATATGCCAGAGAAATGTTTTTTTTTTCTCCTTTTGATTTGTTATTGAAATTGTTATTGTTGCCAATTGAACCGGCGACTGTGCGTGACAGCAACAACAACAACAACAAGAACAATTCTAACAACAAGCTTTACAAATAAAATGAAGAATATTCGACTTATTCGGCTTATTTGATAATCGCTGTGAATTTTTTCTTGGAATATCACACAACATTTTTTATTTCTATATACGCATTTTTTATTTTGCATGTTGCATGTTCGCGTTGTAAATTTATTTGTCAGCTTTTTTTATTGACACAAACCATGGAGATGTTGAGTTCTACAAGTTGTTTATTCTCGTTGTTGTTGTGCTATTTTACTCGCTGTCGGTTATTTGATATTTCGCCCCCGTTGATTGGGTTTGCGATTTACGATTTGCGCATTTAATTTTATGCCCATTGAACCGTGTCGCAGTCGGATTTTCAATTGAAATTCAAGAGCTGCAAAACAGGTAAACAGTATTATAAATAATATGCCAAATAGTTTGGCATAAAAAAATTCACAGAGTAGAACCCTTTTAGCCAAGCGCAAACAGTTGGCCCAAATATGTCTAATTGTTGATGCGCTACAGGAGCAGAAACGAAATTCGAACTCAAATTGAAATCGATGCCCGACAACAACAACAACAACAACAACAACAACAGCCATAAATCATTTTTTGGCATATTTCCACAGCAGCAGCAGGCCTTGTTTGTTGCGTCCTCTCGCCGCTTGGAGCGCTGCACGCGCATTGTTTGCCAACGCAGAAAAGTGTTCAAATATTTGTAGTTGTTGCTGCTGTTGTTGTTTCGGTCGTTCGTTTGGTTTGTCATACAACAGCTATGTTGTCATAAGCAGCGATCCGTCGCAACGCGCTGAAACCCAGCCAAAATGAGAGAGAAACTAAAGCCTCGTCGACTGACAAATACGCTATACTATACCAAGATACTATACTATACTATAGCAAATGCATAAACTTATACTGTGCTCTCAAATAACTTAGCTTATTAGCTTGTCGCACGAATGTTATCAAGTTATTGAGACAAGCAGATGGTATTTAAATATACAAATATCAAAAATGATCTATGAAGTAAAATATTCTTGATTCTTTAGAGCTGCGTGACAATTTGATGACTCTGCAAGCAGCAAATCAAAAAAAGGTGGCGGGGTTACATACCCTGTCTGAAATAAATGAAGGTCCAGTTCTTAGCTCATCTAGTCTCTGAATTAATGCATATTTCAATCAAATCAGCTCGTCTTGCCAATCAAAGATGACACCACAGTTGGCTCGTCTGGCTTTTACATGACAACTCCAGTTGCAATATACCCATTTTTAATTGCCTACAGGGTATAAAAGCTAAGCAGACAGATTTTTCATCGCATTTCCGGCATGACTTGAATCTTGGTCTGTTAGTTGATTTGATAAATATAAAAGTCATTATTAGGACTGCCCGCCCTCCATTTGACCCACTAAAACTTGCAGCAAATTAAATAAGTTTCAACGCATTTACAAAGTCATTTCGGTTGCCAAGTTTCAGCGCCCAGCTTTTAGCTGCTATTTGTGTTTGAGTTTAGTTTTTATGGTCCCCGGGCCTCGGCCCGGGTCCCGGCTCCAAAGAGTATGCAAAACAAAATAAAACACACAAAAGAAATCAGCTAAAAATTTATTTCGAGCTAAGAACTTTGCGCTTTTGTTTGAAATTTGTTTCGCATTTGTAAGTTGAAATGTTTTTTGTGAATGAACAAAACACAACACAACTCGGGCGAGAGGAAGGGATACGGAGAAACAAATAAAAGAGATCGAAACACAATAAAAGCGTTGCCTAACCCCCAAGTCGACCTCAGGCATTGCAGTTTGGCCCTTTTGTGTTTTTGTATACCCTAAAACTGGGTAAGGAGGGTATATTGTTTAGTGGAAGTGTATGTCACAGGCAGAGAAAGGCATACATATATGTTCTTGACCAGGCTTTGCATAAAAGTGGAAAGGAAGCATTATGTTTGCAAGCTTGAGATGTAGGGTATCTGCCAGTCGGGCACTCGAGACCAGAGCACATTAACTTGTTTGGCTCCGCCACAGGAACTGAAATCGAGGGAAACAAAACTTTGGTGGTAGCATGCGTATCCGTTATAAGTTTGTTACCTTTCGTCCTGCGCCCCCACTAAATATATATTTAATTCAAGCTGCTTCCCTTTTGCTTGGCGCTTTAACGAAATTTACTTTCAATGCTTTTGCAACGCGGCCCACGTTCCGGCTTAAAGGGCGTCCCAAATCGATTTAATTGACACTTTAGGCCCGGACATAAATCGCTCGGCTTGCCCTGACGCAATGACCGTATCATTTGTGTTTGTAACACCTACAGAAGAGGAGCTCGGGTCAAAATGGTTTGCAATTGGAGGGTTTGACAAATGCTGATGGCCCAAGGAACTCGAATTATGGATGTCGTCAGCCAGCAACAGTTGATTGGCAGGCAGTTTGTCATGTTACCCGAGCAATTTGCTATCGAACACCAGGTGAAAGTTGTGCTCTTGATATATGTGTTAGATACGTTCAGGTGTGAAATGCCGGACACTGTGTAAAGGATAAAAGCATGCTAGCCTTTAATTTACTTGAATTAGCTCAGCTCCATCAAGACTAAAGGCTGCTATTAGCTGTACAGGCTCGAACCCAGTATTTATACACTGAACCCATTAAAAATGGTTAAAAATTAATTTGTATAAATATAGTATAATATATAACAGGCAGAGGGAAACATCTGCGACCCAATAAAGTATATATATTCTTGGTTAGTATCAATAGGCGAGTCGTTTCCAATTAATCGATAAAAATCGAAATCGAAGTCTTGTTTCTCGAGCCAATCTCTAAATATATTAAGTTTCTTTCATTTTATAATTACCGCCACCTATAATAAACGGATTTGTATTGCCCATCAGTTGAAGCCCCCAAATTGCAAATTTATTGCAAATGACTTTTTCAGAATATACAAATATTCTATAGTACAATAGGATCTATTTTGAATATTTCATTAAGATCGGTTAAGAAACGCAGAGCGAACAATTTTTGCATATATGTGCAAGTAACACATTCACGCGCATGTTTATTGAATTCTATCAACAGCATTGCAATTACGATTGTATTGTTTTCTGTGAAATAGGAGATAGTTACGCATGTCTGTTATTTGTAGAAAACAATCCAGAATGCAAGCTGGAAAGTTATTTCCGAACCGCTTTAGCTGAAACTTGGTATTCCAACATTATTTCAGTCAAGCTAGTTGTGGTTACGTTAACTGCGATTTAACGTAGTAAATCACCTGTCTGAATGCCTTAAAATGTACTCACATTTCTTGCCTCAAGTCATATATTTCAAAAGCATGCAGGTCCCAGCGAAATCCCATATCAGCAGCAATACAATATTCATGCCCAGTCCAATCCAGCCACAATATCCTGCACACAAATCTTACAAAATATACACACACTGGGAATAACTCATTGCAGTACACACACACACACACACATACACTCCTTGCCTGGCACAATACATTAACAGCCGGCCATACTTGGCTTTGAGAGCATCTCGCTGAGTTATGACGTCCAACAGCTGCGCAAAACGACTGTCGAAAGGGCGACCCGGAGGGTGCTCATATGAAGGAGCTGCCACAAATATGTTGCATAAGCCACCAGGGAGGACTAGAAGCAGCCGTGGCCAAATGGGGGAAGAGGGCCGAACAAAAAGAAATCAAATCAAATGGCCAAGCGACAGTTGGCCGCCTATTTTCGTTGGCTAGTTAGAAAATATTGCATTCACTTGGTCGACAACAGCTGCCCTTTTATGCCCTGTAAATATTGAGCTTCAGTTATTTTCAGTATATACAAGACAGTTGATTAAACTTGCAAACTTCAATAATCCAACTTTAACGGAAAGAGTTATTTAAGGATACATTTTTCATAGTTGTATAGGGGTATTTCCTAGTCGTTCACTCTCGACTATTGCCCTATTCTTTTATTGTTATTTACAAGCAAAGTCCACTTAATAAAGTCAAAGAGAAACTTATTTATTCTTCTCTCTCACTCTCTATCTTTTGCCAGGCCACTTTCCGCTCAGCTCGGAGCACTGCCTCACTTGGATAGTTCTGGATGTTTCTGTTCTGCACGGCCAGCATTATGCACTGGCACCATATCCGTGGATCGCTATCTGCGCTGCGCTATCCGATGCGCTTTGGCCCGTAACAAGACCAGGCGCCGCGTCACCCTCAAGATTGTCTTTGTCTGGCTGCTGAGCATTGCCATGAGCCTGCCGCTCAGCCTATGTACTCCAAGGTGTGCTTCAGGCCTTTTATTTTCTTTTATTTTATTTTTTTTTTTTTTTTTTGGTTGTCTAACGAGCTGTTATTCTTGCCAGGATCACGCCTCGGTGCTGGTGAATGGCACCTGCCAGATTCCAGATCCGGTATACAAGCTGGTCGGCTCCATTGTCTGCTTTTACATACCGCTGGGTGTGATGCTGCTCACATATTGTCTGACTGTCCGCCTCTTGGCCAGGCAGCGTCAGAATTTGGGCGGTGGCCAGCCGACGTCAGCGGCCACGCCCGGCTGGGCCAGCGGCTGGTTGGGCCAGGCCCCCCGCTTTGGGTAAGTACATATGTCCCATATCCAAGACAAATATAATCATAACTCGATGATCATAAGATCCCTTAGGATATTCCTTCATTTCAGTGCCTCTTGCCATACTTTTCTACGCCTCATTATGAAGATCGAACTTTAAACAGCGAAGCTATTTAAGAATGTATGTCCCATGTAAAATGTGCATCTGCATTTTGGGTTAGGGTATCTGATAGAGCTGGAAAAACAACGATAACTAATGCCATCGAAAAAAAATAATTAGAAGGCATAACTTGTATTAACAATTCATATGGGATCACCATTTCACCAAGCTTTGCTTAATGTTCTCTTTGACTCGGCGCATGTCGTCAGAATGCAAAAAATATTTGATAGTGTTGTAAGCTGTCGTTATAATTTGAAAAAAAAAAAATACATGATATTTTTGGGGTTTAAAAGCTTGTATTAACAATTTACGGATGCGGCCTTTCGACACGTTTGGTTTTTTCGAAACATTGCCTTAAACAATAATAGGATCCGACCGTGGATGATTGGAATTTTTCGGTTTATTTAATTTTCGAAGAAAAAGCAAAAAAAAAAATATTTCAATTTAAAAGTATTTTACTTGTCGGTTTCTTTGAATCAATAAATGTCATTTTAAGCATTGATGGTTCCAAAAAACATCAAAAACAGCATCGATATAATCGATACTCGATATATAACCCCATCAATTGTTTTCTAGCTCAAGTAGTTGAGCCCGAGCACGTTTCCAACCATGTTCAAAAGGGATTTCTTGAAATTAATAAAGCAGCAGCATATTTAAGTTATGCAAATTCATGTATAGACACACCTATTTTGTGCCCAAATCAAAAGTGCTTCGTACTTAGTTGAATACCCAAAACCGAGCTGCGCATTTCGCTCAGTGTATTTCCCATGCATATTTATGACACTTGCGCCCACAGGCAGACAGCTGTCGACATTTAATGTGATTTGCTGGCTGCCAAAATCATATAGAAATTCTGTTGCACTGTCGACTGTCCGAAAAGTTAACATAAAATGGCAGCAGGGAAATGGGGGCGAAGGCATGCGAGGTGCCGGGGTGCCAGCCAAGATATGCAAAGGCGTCTAAGCCACAGCAATACACACAGAGAGCCATCGGCAGGAATTGAGTTTGGTTTTATCTGCTTGTATGTGTGCCTGGGTGTGTGTGTGCTGTGTATGTGTGTGCCTGTGAGTGTATGTGCCTGTGTATGTTGTGTGTTGATAGCTAATTTCAGTGCTGCTGCTTGCCTAGAGGAGCATCAGCTTGAATGTCCTGCAATGTTGCAATGTAAAGCTTGAGTAAATATCGTTTGCCAAAGGCTGAATAATTTGAAATTGCAAACTGAAATTGTTTGTACAGTCGTCCCAATACAGATATAGGATTTGTTACCCATCAGATTATGAACAATATCTGCCTGCTTTCGTTTAAGAGCAAGCAGCTATGCTAAAGCGAAGCCGTAAATAAAGCGGGACACTCTGCAAAAGAGTTCTCTCACTGAACACTCAAGCCATTTATTTTGGCTGCCTCTGTACTTGACATCATCCGAGCGAGCCCCGCAGGAGTTCGAGCACATAATTTTCGCCCTTTTAGCATTCGGCTTAAACGCCACGATAAGAACTAGGTTGCACTCGGAAGCAATAACAATAATCAATAAAATGAAAATCACAAACTAAGCATATTTAATTGGCTCTCAGCAGCGACTACAACTGCATTGCAGTGGAGTTCCGTTTGCGGCTGTGGGGCAGGGCATTTGATAGCTAATCGACGGTACAAAGCGCAAGTCGAGCGCATTGCGACGGTGCCTAAGTGCTGCTGCAGCTGTGTGCTTGCCTGTACTATGGAAAAAATTTAAACATTGTTAATTATTTTTTGTTTCTTAAACAGTTTTCAGTTACTAGAAGCTACATATCAAGTTTGGTGACTCTAGCTCTAAAAACCTAAGAGATTTGCTTAAAACACGATTTCAATTTCGATTTTTACCGATTTTTGAAATGGTTCAAGCTATCGATTATCAAAAACAAACTCGTACTGCTTGGGCACCAGGAGAGCCTGCGTTACAAATTTCAAGTTTCTAGCTCAAATAGGTTCTGACATCCTTACGGACGGATGGACGGACAGATGGTCGGACATGGCTAGATCAAATTGGCTATTGATGCTAATAAGGAATATATATACTTTATGTGGTCGGAGATCCTTCCCTCCTGTTATTTACCTTTGCACAAATATAGTATACCCCTTTTACCCATTTTCAATGGGTTCAGCACAATTGCCGCTCTGTAGAGCCATAAAACACTTTTTATTTTTGAAAAAAGAACTCGTAAGATAATGATAAAACGCTGTGTTTTCATTTAAAATAATAATTAAAATAAATTCGTCACTTGGCAAAAATATAGACAATGCAAGTGTTTTAAAATATGTTTAAAGTGCTGTTGTTAAGCAGCTGTTAACGTAACGGCTGCTTACTATGTTAACAGGTTTATGTTAGGTTATATTAAAAAAGGCTGAATTTTATCAGTAAATCTGCATGAAATGCCCACAGTGCTGGGGACGAGTGTGTTATTTTTCTGTGCAGTTATTTTAAG